TCATGTGCATTGCAACCCAAGCGAATAAAAAGTATCGAGTATTGGACAATCCTATCTAGATAACCCAATCCAATACCCAATATACCTAGATACAAGAAAAAAGAAGTATTGAGTATTGGGCAATCCAACATAGCTAACCCAATACAGTAGTCGATATACCTAGATAACGCTATATTTTACCCGGTATATCTGGATGTTAGATTTACCACATGTTCAAGTAAGAAATCTTGTGAAGTATCTAGATATTTTGTTGTGATATTTGCAATCCTACTATGAAGTCATCTAGATATATTGGGCATGGTATCTAATGCATCCCGATATCGTCTCAATATATTGGGATGCAAAAAAAGGCTGGTGTAGGGAGCTACAGTCCCCGATATATTGGTCTATTACAGACCAATATATTGACTTATGTATCGATAGCATGGATGAAGGACGTTCCATTCCTCAATATATCGGTCTGTGACGTCCCAACATATCGGTCTGTGACATCCCAACATATCGGTCTGTTACAGACCAATATATCGACCTATGCATCTTCCAAGCGAATAAAAGGTATTGAGTATGGGGCAATCCTATCTAGCTAATCCCAATACAGTAGTCAATACACCTAGATAACCCAATACCATACCTAATATATCTAGCTTGCGCAATATATTATTCGATATATCGACGGTCGGATTATTCATCTTTTTATTTTGCAGCCACAGCACCTATATATGTAATACATATACTCCATAAATTTACAAAGTTAATATTCATATCAAGTCAATATATTGAGCAATAATAGACCAATATGTTACAGAAAGCAGAATGTTGCATACAGACGTCCCGGGGTGCAATACAGACAGCATCCTTCATGCTGTCAATACATGAGTCGATATATTGGGCGATAACAGACCAATATATTGAGGAATGGAACGTCCTTCATCCATGCTATCGATACATAAGTCAATATATTGGTCTGTAACAGACCAATACATCGGGGACTGTAGCTCCCTACACCAGCCTTTTTTTGCATCCCAATATACTGAGACAATATCGGGATGCATAGATACCATGCCCGATATATCTAGATAACCCAATAAAACTGACACCTATACTTAGATATTTCATAGTAGCATTGCCCAATATAACGAAAAGATATCTAGATATTTTTATGTACGATTTTTTGCTTGGGAATGATCATATTACTTCACAATATTCCTCTACTTTTTTTTTATAAAAGCTTTATTTCCTGAACATTTTAATAAACCAGAAGAACTGCTGTTGAACTAGAACTGAGATAAATGTAATATCAGAACTATCCCTATCCATCTGCGGTGATTATTCTAAGTGGTAATATCAGGTAAGATATTGTCTAGAAGACTAGACGATGTAAAACTTGACAGTCACAGAACACAGTTAAACATTATGTAACATAAATTTGTGACGAGCGGGAGAACGGTGTCTTTACAACTCCCTTTCTTTTCTTTTAACTACCACAGTTAGTTTGATTGAGCATCAGAATGTCAACTAAACTACTTCATATTGTATTGTTTTCTCCATTTTTGCGTTCAATATCGTCCAAAAAAGAAGAAAGCATCTAACTAGTTCTTTCGGGATAGCCATTTAGCGGCCATTTTGGATATATTTATTACGTAAGAAGCGAGCGTCTTTCGTTTGTTTCATCGAAATTGTTCTTTTTCTTTCTATATAACCATTATTTTTATGTGCTCTTAGGAAACAGACCGTGAACCGAAAATTGCTTTTTCTGTTTCGATATACGAAGATTGAAAGAACGAACTGTCCTAGACAAAAAATTTTTGCTAAAACTGATAGGATTCTTTTCAGAATCTTATCAGTTTCTTATATAAGATTGTTTAACATTTCCCATCGACAGTCGTAAGTGTCTTATAAGAAGCTTATAAGATTTTCATAAGAGGCTTGTAAGAAAAACATAGGAAGGACCAAAAGTTCTTATGTTATTAATATCTACTAAAAGGTAACTTATAAGTCGGCTTTTACGATTTCTGCTATGATTAAGTTACTTCTCGAATCTTTTTGGGCTAGTAAGTGGCCGTAACGGTCATTTATTCTGATGACTTGTGAGGCGTATTCGTAGAACTGTTATTTTTAAAAATATAAAACTTTTACTAGGATGTATTAACTGTTAATCGGGCAAGTTAACTTACATTCATATCTAAAATAACTTGATATAATAACATAAAGAGAGTAAGCACTTATGCCCTAATGGTTAAGATCGGGCAGCTGAATGGAAGTAGATTACGAGTTCGATCCTCGTTAAGTACGATTTATCTTTTTATGAACCTCGTATGAAAATCTGATCTGATTCTTATAAGACACTTACGACTGTTACGATGGGAAATCTTAAACAATCTTATATAAGAAACTGATAAGATCCTTAGAAGAATTTTATAAGATGCTGATAAGAGACTTACACATTTTTGGTAAGATTATTATATAAGAATCGATCTCTAGGACGAAAGAATGATACTGAAAGAAGAATATTCAATGTTTCTTACGTTCTTCGTCCCATTACTAGTTAAGATGGGTAAAAACAAACGAGAAAAATAACTTTTCTCTCTCTAGAATTTTTTCGTATATAAATGCTGTAGGCAAAACTGAAATTCAGACAAATTTAAAATTTGCCTAGGGAAAACTCAAACTGGAGTTTATCGGAGTTTTGCCTGAAGTTTTTTCTAGGCAGAACTTCAATTTAAGTTTTGTCTAGGCAAAACTTAAATTTAAAATTATAGTTTGACTTTTATCTGAATTAAATAAAATAAAATTTTCACATATAAGAATATTCCTGACTCCAGTCGACTGGAGTCAGGAATATTCTTAGGTGATGTCAAAATTTGATTTTATTTAATTCAGACAAAAGTCAAACTATAATTTTAAATTTAAGTTTTTGCCTAGACAAAACTTAAATTGGAGTTCTACCTAGAAAAAACTTCAGACAAAACTCCAATTGAAATTTTGCCTAGTCAAATTTTAATTTGCCTGAATTTCAGTTTTGTCTACAACATAAACGCATGTATATATTGTAGAACTTATATTTTTGACTGTAATGTTACAGTACAGTCTGTTTGTTTATGGATTTCTTGAAAATGAAAATTGTACTTTCGAAACGTCGAATATTAATAAAAATTAAATAATGGAATTAAAAATAGCTGATGTTATTATCTGTACAGTAAACAAGAACAGTCTAATAATCAAACGAGAAGAATGTCTTAAAGACTGGTAAAAAATGCATTGGTAATTTGTTGGATTTCATGTTGTTGCATCTAGGGTGCTTCCATTTGATCGTTACATCTCAGTTTTCCGGGTTTTTCCCTGACATATGACAAACTTTGTTTCAATTTTTTTTATTTTATTCGTGTCCATAAAATTAATTAGCTCAGACATGTCAGCACGTCCGCTAAAAAATGGAAAAATAGTCACTTAGTAAAGTGACTGACGTTAGCGTGAATAAAATATGTGAAAGAACGATAGCATAGAAAATTTGATCTAACAAAAAAAGAATAATTGTATTGAACTATATTTTTCTAGAAGTATAATTATATCAGTTTTGTTCACGGAATACGACCTAAAACAAATAAAAGAAAATGTCCATGAAAATATTCGAGTATTCAGGATGACAATAGCCTGACTTGAAATAAATATATTTTCTTTCTACTCTACCTTACTACTAGTATATCTAACGAAAAATAGCAGTAACACGTAGTATTGAATAAAAAACAAAGTTTTTACTCTATAAAAAGGCCGTAACGCTTTTTTAACAAAAAGTACATATTAAACCTGTGTGACCAAGAACTTTTCATCATAGATGTAGGTGTTGTAGGCAAACTTAGAATTCAGGCAAATTCCGAATTTGCCTAGGCAAAATTAGAATTCTAAATTTGACTGAACGAAATTGGAATTCTGATTTTGACTGGAGTTTCTTCAGGCAAAATTAGAATTCTAAGTTTGACTAAGTTAGTCAAAATTAGAATTTAGGCAAAATTGGAATTAAATTAAACATTTTCCTTCAGTCAGTGAGGAGTTGTTATTGTTTTGCAGTTGTTTTGAAGTTCTGGGTAGCATTGATGAAGGTCATAATATTCATACAAATTATATTTCAGCTTTGTTTTATGAAAAGAGAAAAGATACTTTTTAAATGCAAATTATGTTTAAAGTAGAATATTATAATTATCTTAATCAAAGGTTTTTTATACATATATTTCGATTACATATATCATATTGACTACAGTATGAATTGTTTCTTCAAATGCTGAATGAGAATATTTCACCTGATTGGAATGAAGTATACGACTGATAAAAAACTTGCTCATGAATATACTTCACTTTTTTGAAAAGGTTTTTAATCGTCTTTGTTTGTAAAATATTCAGTATTTGAAAAAACAATCCATACTGTAGCCAATATGATATATGTAACCTAAAGGTATGTATAAAAAATGTTTGATTAAGATAATCATAATATTTTACTTTAAGGCCACCCCTCTCAAAATCGGATCTCGGCTTCCATGCCACGAAATTGCATGACATTTTCAGGATATCTCGATCATGATATAGGGATGCTATGCTAAAATTTTCGGACCAATATCATGAGTATTTTCCAAGATATTCAAAAATTACTGGCAAAAAATAGCTTTTTTTCGAAACAAGAATTTTCGTAGAGGCTTCATCATAGACAATTATTATTTTTTTTGTTCGATAGAGGACATCCACCTCTAGGGTGTTAAAGAGGCCTTTTTTTAAATTGTTGATTTTCTTGAGGGGGAGAGAGGGGTTAGAAGTTCAATACCTTCCAAAAATCCGTAGAAAACGCTAGCAGTTTTCCCGAGATCCTTTTTTAATAAAAAAAGAAAGCCTAATTTTAAAAAAGGGCTCTGTAACGCCCTAGAGCTGGATATGCTCCTTCAATCAAAAAAAATATTCTCTACAAGCAAGCATTGTCGAGAATTCTTGTTTCGACTATTTGCAAAAGAGCGTTAAAACATAATTATTGTCAATTAAAAAAAGAATGGGCTCAGCTATTTTTGGAATAACTTTTGCTGAAAGTAGTTAGAGAGCTTCGATATTCACCATTTGAAAGAGGAGACTCAGGGACATATTTCCATAAGGAAAACTTTTTCAGAAGAGTTTTTTGAAATAGATTTTCTAGGAGGTCGTTGGAAAACTAGACCATATGTAACAGTTTTCCAATCGGATTGCATTGATTCTTTTTTATGAACTGATAGCCCAGGATGTTCTCTTCAAGATAGGAGCCGAGCTAGATCTTGACTTTGCGCGATTCGAGCCTTGCATCGGATTTCCTACAAGTCCCAGGACTGACATCCGGTGACTATTGGTAGGCTTGTAAATGGATGAACTATAGGTAATCGATCATGCTGAGTCTCGTGGTAATATTTGTTTTAGAAGCTACCGAAAAGCTTACTTGGGCTAGATAATTCATCAATGTATGAGTGAATATGCAGCAAAGATTTGTTCGGTTTTGTCTATTGTCTGTACAAGGATTGTCTTTGTGTGATAAATCTTTACTGTATATCGATATTTGCTGTCACTCATACATTTATTCTATAAAGTAATAAATGGATCCTTTACTTTTAAAAAATAAAGGTAAAATAAACACTAAAGTAAAGATTTTACTTTATGGAATATACGCAGATGTGGAAGACCACAGAATTTTCAGATAAAGTACTTTATTTAGAAGATGTTCCTGATTGAAAGCACCTGAACTGCACGCATAATTACAAAAAATAAAGCTGAAATAAATGATTGGTATTCTTCTTCTGTGACCACGTTTTTTTTCTTGGAATTCGCTGCGCTTGTTCTATTCAATCTTCTCTTTTCGAAGTGGATTAGTTTAGTCGATCTGGGTAATTCAACATGATTTTATTCGAACAATTGAAGAGAAATAATCAACTCATGATTTGAGGTGAGGATGAGGGCATCAAAGATGATATACTAAGATTTCCCTGCTTGTTAATTAATCTGAAAACAGCAAACATAAACGCTTTATTTCATTATTTTACCAGCATTTTTAAAAAAAATT